CGGTTCTTTCACGTTTTTTTAGACCACAAGGGGGAGAAACAGAAAGCTCTTAAAGATAAAAAGTTTAACGAAACACTTTATGATTTATGTATGACAATACCAATATATATTCTTCATATCTATACATCATTTCATGCTTAATTATTTTTCCACCGTCAATTGCATCACATATCGATATTTATTTCAAGTATTGAATCATTTAAATTATACATGCAAATTAATAAGTTCATAAACAATCATAAAACATGCATTAACATGTAAAATTATTTCGCTTAGACACAAATTTAATCATGAAATCATTAATTCAAACTTTATTAATTTTACTCTAAAAATAATTCTTAAAATGTTTAAAAGTAAATACTAAATTTCCTTATCGAAGTCTTAATGTTTTCTGCGCATTTTCTTCTCTCTCTCTCTCTAAAGTTCTTGGAAGATGAAAGAATGGAATGAAAATGATGAGGAAATGAAGGGAGGATCCCTATTTATAGAAAATGAGAACTGCCGGAATTGCGCTAAATGACGAAATTTAGTGAGGAGAGAGAAAGCCAATGGGAAAGAAGTGATGTGACGATTGACGGATGGACTAAACGACGTGATGGCGGCGCGAAAAACAAAGGCACGCCGCCCAAAAAGCGGCGGCGCGCACTGCCCAAGGCAGTGCACATTGCCCTAGCCAGCTGCGCGCAAGCCTACTGCGTGCAGGCCTGTGCGTGCAGGCCTACCATGTAGACCTACTGCACGGACAACGTGCATGGAGCCGCGCTCGTCTGCGTGCTTCATGCCTCGCGCGCAGACTGCGCTTCACGCCCTGCACGGACGGGACGTGCGCACAATGGGCACGTCCTGCATTGGCCGCACGTGCGGCGTGCGGAGCCCGCACGGGTAGAACCTTTCTCGCGGGATTTTATGCTTTTTTCTTTGTTTTTTTTTTAAATTTATTTAATTAATAAATATAATATAATTTTTTTATGACAAAATAAAATAATAAATTTTAAGAATTATTCAATCAAATAAAAATACGGAATTTAAAATACGAAATATGATATTCATCTGAAAAATTAAAATTACGGAATATCAAAGAGTTTTAAATGACCTTAAAGTTTGACTAAATAGGGGTTCACATTACAAATTAAGCGTAAAGGTTTTCGGAGTGTTACAGCGAACACCCACTTACAACCAACTATCTTTTTTCCTTGTATAATTGAAATAAGCTCCAATTTTTCATTTTTTCTCAATATTCTTATTTCTTCAATCATCGCTTCCTCTATTTGGGATCTTTTAGAGAT